AATAAGCTGTGAAGTAACTTTTTCAATTAATTTTTATTTTTTATTATTTACTATTTGTTTACATTTCTCATAAAAAATAATAATAATATTTTATAATCCATTTGGGTCTTTTTCTATTTTTAAAAAAATAAAAAATAAAAAAATTTAAGAGTATAATCGTGAATTAACATGTCCACAACAGAAGTTGATAATCAGAAATAAAGGGTGAACAACTTTTCAGAATCAGCTTTTTTGACTTAAAATAAGTTGTTAGAATCAGAAGCTGTTTAAAATAAGTTTAACCAAACAGTCCAAAATAACTTTTTAAAAGTCAGAAGCCATAAGTTGGCTCAAAAAAGCCCCATCAAAACGTGATTATTTTTTTTTATATTCCTCTAACTTGTAACAATGAAAAAATTAAAAAAAAATTAAAAAAGAATAAATTGATGATAAATCTCATCTAATTTAGAGAGTGTCTAAGATATTATGTAAGTGGATATTATTTTATTGATGAAAAATTCATCATTTGTGAAATAATTTGATGAAAAGCCTTTTTGTTTGTTTTGAAAGAAATTCTTTTCTAATTTCACCCCTTAATTTATCTGTTGATTTTTTTTTAATTTGTTGACTTTCGTTGACTATTTGTTCAAATTTTATATTTATTTGTTTAATTTTTTTAAACGTTAATTGTCTTATTTATTTTAACCAATATCTTTACTTTCCCTTGAGAGAAGGCTTTAGCTGGCTTTACCACAATGGATCAGTTATTTTCAATGAACTATGAACAAATATGACAGAACGCAATCAAAAGAACAACAAAGAGGATTAAATGAAAAAAACCACCGTACCATTTGAATTACATAGGAGGAGGATGAGCAAAGTAGTAAACAAAACAATTCCTGGACTACAAAAAGGGTTAATAGTGAACAAAGAATTACTTGAAGCATGCAGGAAGCCATGAATCAGGTAGAGAACAACACATTCTTTGGATTAAAAGTGAAAATTTTACTTTTAAATGATATATGCAAAGTACAATGTTTGAAGCACTGTTTCATTTGTTCCTATGCAAATTAAGAGCAGTGTATGCACATATAATGCAAATGCTGGTACCAAAGACTTTCTTGGTAAATTATATCAGCTTCAAAATCATAAGGCAGGACCATGCTGTCATGTCAGAGTGTCTTCCATGAAAATGGAAGAATGAAGATGTTCATCTAGTATAAATGAGGACATAAAAACGTTTCATTAATAAAAGAACTATTTAATATACCTATCCTATTTATATCCATGAATACAAACACAAACAAAAAGAACATAATATTTTGGTTGAATCCAATCTCAAAATGAGATGGACGCACATTGGCAGAACCAAAAATACCCTACAGTATTCTTCTCTTATCAACACCCATCCTATAGTAGAAGTGCTAGAATACAGAACACTTGGTCCATGCCAATGAGACTCAACACGATGGAGTGAAGGTTAGGTCTTCAGTTTAAGTCCTCCCTATGGATAATGCCAAATGGAGATGAAAAGAGAAAAGACATCATGTATTTCACAAAGTACCTCAGAAAGTCATAATATATTCCAATGAATCAAATCATAACTGAAATATAATAGGTAGTAATCAAAAATAGGACCAATGTAAAAAAAACAACGCCCAATTAATACACATTAATGTGTGTTTGGGAGGGAAAGATTAGGTACACACCCAACCTTTGGCATAGGGTACAAAGTGGTTGCCCCGAGACTTGAACCCATAGCCTCAAGATTATTAGGCTAAGGTTTTACCATTGAACCAATGGTCACTCCCAAGCAATGTAAATGAGAAAATGTAAAATTCAGTAAGACTTACTCTCGCTTTGCATCAATATCTTTGCCAAAATCAATGTTTGGTTCGCAGTCCAGAACCAAAGCAGGAACCTGTCCATAATCAAACCAAGTTAAGAAAAACATTTTATATGTTTTCCCAAACATAAAGTAAAATGATAATGAGTAATACCTTTTGAATGCTCAAATGCATATGATCACCCTCCAAATAGAATACACGGTCCCTTACATCAGGATGTAAGGAGCAGTCCATATGGTGAGGTAGCTTGACAGAAAATACCCCATGATCTCCACTTTGGAGAGGGAAAAGCCAACTCTCATGTTTTTCATGCAAGTCACGAAGATACTCAAGGGAGACTCTTCCGTAAGATTCCACAAATTACATTGGTCACTCCCGAGGTGTTGAAAGTGTTCCCCATGCCTTTTCGTGACTGTTACACGATTTTGGCTCCCGATGGCCTATTTTCAATCGTAAGTGTGGAAAAAGTGCATTTTTTGAGTTAGTTTTCAAACCGGGAGTCCCATGCTAGTTCTGTAAGTTTTCGCAACTTACATTCATCTCTCCCGAGGTGTTTGAGGTGTTCGTCAGTCCTTCTCATGACTATTACACTATTTTGGCCCCCGATGGCCTATTTTCAAGCTTAAATGTGAAAAAAGTGTATTTTTCAACTTAGTTTTCAAACCGGAAGTCCCATGCTACCAGTTGATCTCTTTCAAGCATTTAAATTGATACTCACATCACTAATTGAACTCACAAATAAAGCTAAGCAGAGTTTACAAGAAAAACATTTGTTTCATAAGCTAAGAGAGTGGACATGCTGAATAAAAAGATAAGTGCAGTACGTACCTGCACGGCTCTTTGTCTCCTCTTGAACTTTATCAATAACCTAGAAAACCGACGAATAACAACGCATTAGGTCAATTCAAACATTTAAAAATGGATAACAACAAAATGGAGATAGCTAGAGTTAAGACTAAGAGGAGCACGCCAATAAAGTATCATTGCGATTTGCATGCATCAGCCACCAGTTACAGTATCAGCTACATTATCCTATCTTGTCTCTATCCAAAACACCTACCACACACCACTGGAGAGGGAATAACAAAGGTCTGTCTGGTATCAGCAGGATTGAATGCTAGTACTAATATACAGCCCCTTCTTCTCTTTAGGTAAAAGAAGAGAACTTCAGTGAACTCCTAGTTGAATCATAGTCATTCACCAAGTGCCATTCAGCTGAACAGGTAGAAAACATGAATCAGATAGAAAACAACACATTCTTTGGATTAAAAGTGAAAATTTTACTTTTAAATGATATATGCAAAGTACAATGTTTGAAGCACTGTTTCATTTGTTCCTATGCAAATTAAGAGCAGTGTATGCACACATAAAGCAAATGCTTGTACCAAAGACTTTCTTGGTAAATTATATTAGCTTCAAAATCATAAGGCAGGACCATGCTGTCATGTCAGAGTGTCTTCCATGAAAATGGAAGAATGAAGATGTTCATCTAGTATAAATGAGGACATAAAAACATTTCATTAATAAAAGAACCATTTAATATACCTATCCTATTTATATCCATGAATACAAACACAAACAAAAAGAACATAATATTTTGGTTGAATCCAATCTGAAAATGAGATGGATGCATATTGGCAGAACCAAAGATACCCTACAGTATTCTTCTCTTATCAACACCCATCCTATAGTAGAAGTGCTAGAACAGAACACTTGGTACATGCCAATGAGACTCAACACGATGGAGTGAAGGTTAGGTCTTCAGTTTAAGTCCTCCCTATGGAGAATGCCAAATGGAGATGAAAAGAGAAAAGACATCATATATTTCACAAAGTACCTCAGAAAGACAACATGCTAAGGTTTTACCATTGAACCAATGGTCACTCCCAAACAATGTAAATGAGAAAATGTAAAATTCAGTAAGACTTACTCTCGCTTTGCATCAATATCTTTGCCAAAATCAATGTTTGGTTCGCAGTCCAGAACCAAAGCAGGAACCTGTCCATAATCAAACCAAGTTAAGCAAAACATTTTATATGTTTTCCCAAACATAAAGTAAAATGATAATGAGTAATACCTTTTGAATGCTCAAATGCATATGATCACCCTCCAAATAGAATACACGGTCCCTTACATCAGGATGTAAGGAGCAGTCCATATGGTGAGGTAGCTTGACAGAAAATACCCCATGATCTCCACTTTGGAGAGGGAAAAGCCAACTCTCATGTTTTTCATGCAAGTCACGAAGATACTCAAGGGAGACTCCACCTTCCTCTGCTCTCTTCCGTAGCAACATCCGCTTGTGGCAAGTATCAGGGGTTGCTCTAAGATAGATAAAACCATTAGGAATAAGCCCAGGTAAACAAGAAACAACTGGATCAAACCACGAGTCATAAATACTGATCTCCATCTCATTCATCCAATTAGCTTCATAAACAGCTCGCACAAAGACCTTAAATCAAGTAATGAGATAAATGTATCAGCCTTGAAACTCTAATAACAGCTTCTTCTTCTCCCCCTCCCCCCTCCTCCGAATGGCATCAACAAAATGGAGAGAAGGAGAGAATTGCAACATTTTAGTCAATCGGTTTCAGTCATGGTCAAAATCAAAACACAAATACCAAATAAATTTGCATTTTACTGAAATTTTATAACTTGCAATCAAGACAAAATGTGGAACTTTATGAAGCCACACCAAAGTTCAAAATATTAAACACTTCATCATTATTAAAAAAGAAACTAATACATAGAGGGATGCATACCATCCTATCGCTGAAAACACTCATTTCCATCAATCTGAGAGGCTTAATTCCACCAAAAGATTCACTTTCCTGCATAACTCTTATAACAAAAACATAGTTTTGGAAGGTATATGCATATCTTTGTGGCTCAGCATAAAAAGCATCCAATATGTTAAAATGATCTGGTCCAACATCCTGCCACTTGTTAATAGGTTCTAGAACAATCTCAACAAGATCCTGCCACTTGTTAATATGTTAAAATGTCTTCCTGCATGCTTCAAGTAATTCTTTGTTCACTATTAACCCTTTAAAAGAAATGTGTACAAAACCAAGTTTAAAAAGAAAATGATAAGGTGGAAGAAAGTAACAATAATCATAGTTTCAAATGGAACATGGAATTCAGTCTAGATGTATTATGATTTAACATTAGATTTATAATATTCAAAAGAAGATACTTATGTAGATGTCACACACACACACACACACACACACAAATGTGTGATATTTATGAAATTTAAATAGTAGAAGGATAGCAAAGAGAAAGTTCTTAAGTCGTAGTTGTGTCTCAACTAAAATTTTCCCCCCATATAGTGAAATTACTTGTGACCCTGTGGTCCAAACACCCTAATCCTCTTAATTTATCTGTCCAAATCAAACAAGATCTTAAGTCAAATGCATATACTTTGAGCTTACTCTTCCAAGTAGAAATCCTTCATGAAGAATGGAATATGACTCAATTGAAATAAGATAAATTGTTAGTGGCCACTACTTGCATATTATAGCTTTGTCAATTATTAGAACATATTGTTGTACATGTTTACATTGTTCCCATCCTCGATATTCACAATCACACAACTCAGCAGGTAAAGAAAGAATTACGTTTTAACTGGTTGACAGATAAATAAATGTTACACAGCAAGGATTATTTCTAAAAAATCATAAATGAAGAACATTCAGACTTCTGCAAATACAGAGAACAGAAATTTGTTATAAAAATGAGAAGTTAAACAATCGAAATAATACCTTCAAAGAGCAACACATCACAGCAACTGAGTGATGCCAAAGTGTCTTGAGAATCGATTCACGTCCTTCATTAACAAACCTAAAAAGCACCTGCCAAAGAAGCAATCAATGAACCTAGAATGTAAGAAATTTGTTAACTGGTGTCCTTAACTATCATGTACACTAACACTTGTCATGTACATCGAATGTCCAAAGTGCATCTATAACTTAAGTATCAGAAGATATGTTGCTAGTAAGTCCAGTTCACTCACAAATAATAAGTTGCGTCAGAGGTGGTCAAATGTACCAAAGCAGTGTTGTCCAAGCTTCTAAGAAAAACTACGGAGATTTGATAAGGATGGTCTAAACAGTCCTATATTATTTTAGTGTTACCTTAACAACATATTTTCTTAACCACATATTACCAATTCAAATTAAAACATACTGGAATATTTTTCTGAATAAAATTATCATTGCTTCCACATAAAAACCAAACCAGCCTCTTCACGTATACATGTATATATCCATCATAGAAGTACCAAAAAATAATCAATAAACTCCAAAGAAAGGAACTTTATAACCAAAAAATAGATTTGATCTAATCTTTCCTTATTGAATCTAGCATGACTCAACTTAATTACGAAAGTCAAACTGAAATTCTCATCACCATAAAATAGCTTCCATGCAGTGGCTGTTGCACGATTTTGGCTCCTGAAGGCCTATTTTCAAGCTTAAGTGTGGAAAAGTGCATTTTTTGACTTAGTTTTCAAAGCGGGAGTCCCGTGCTAGTTCGGTAAGTTTCCACAACTCACATTGGTCCGTCCCGAGGTGTTTGAGGTGTTTCCTGGGCCGTCTCGTGGCTGTTGCACGATTTTGGCTCCTGAAGGCCTATTTTCAAGCTTAAGTGTGGAAAAGTGCATTTTTTGACTTAGTTTTCAAAGCGGGAGTCCCGTGCTAGTTCGGTAAGTTTCCACAACTCACATTGGTCCGTCCCGAGGTGTTTGAGGTGTTTCCTGGGCCGTCTCGTGGCTGTTGCACGATTTTGGCTCCTGAAGGCCTATTTTCAAGCTTAAGTGTGGAAAAGTGCATTTTTTGACTTAGTTTTCAAAGCGGGAGTCCCGTGCTAGTTCGGTAAGTTTCCACAACTCACATTGGTCCGTCCCGAGGTGTTTGAGGTGTTTCCTGGGCCGTCTCGTGGCTGTTGCACGATTTTGGCTCTCGAAGGCCTATTTTCAAGCTTAAGTGTGGAAAAGTACATTTTTGGACTTAGTTTTCAAATTGGGAGTCCCGTGCTAGTTTCATTAGTTTCCACAACTCACATTGGTCCATCCCGAGGTGTTTGAGGTGTTTCCCGAGCCGTCTCATGGCTGTTGCACGATTTTGGCTCCCGAAGACCTATTTTCAAGCTTAAGTGTAAAAAAGTGCATTTTTGGACTTAGTTTTCAAATCGGGAGTCCCGTGCTAATTTCGTTAGTTTCCACAATTCACATTGGTCCCTCCCGAGGTGTTTGAGGTGTTTTCTGAGCCATCTTGTGCCTGTTGCACGATTTTGGCCCCCCGATGGCCTATTTTCAAGCTCAAGTGTTAGAAAAGTGTATTTTTTTACTTAGTTTTCAAACCGGGAGTCCCGTCTTGTGCCTGTTGCACAATTTTGGCCTCCGATGGCCTATTTTCAAGCTCAAGTGTTAGAAAAGTGTATTTTTTTACTTAGTTTTCAAACCGGGAGTCCCATGCTACTTCCGTAAGATTCCACAAATTACATTGGTCACTCCCGAGGTGTTGGAAGTGTTCCCCATGCCTTTTCGTGACTGTTACACGAATTTGGCCCCCGATGGCCTATTTTCAATCTTAAGTGTGGAAAAAGTGCATTTTTTGAGTTAGTTTTCAAACCGGGAGTCCCATGCTACTTCCGTAAGATTCCACAAATTACATTGGTCACTCCCGAGGTGTTGGAAGTGTTCCCCATGCCTTTTCGTGACTGTTACACGATTTTGGCTCCCGATGTCCTATTTTCAATCTTAAGTGTGGAAAAAGTGCATTTTTTGAGTTAGTTTTCAAACCGGGAGTCCCATGCTAGTTCTGTAAGTTTCCGCAACTTACATTCATCTCTCCCGAGGTGTTTGAGGTGTTCTTCAGTCCTTCTCATGACTATTACAATATTTTGGCCCCCGATGGCCTATTTTCAAGCTTAAATGTGAAAAAAATGTATTTTTCAACTTAGTTTTCAAACCGGAAGCCCCGTGCTACCAGTTGATCTCTTTCAAGCATTTAAATTGATACTCACATCACTAATTGAACTCACAAATAAAGCTAAGCAGAGTTTACAAGAAAAACATTTGTTTCATAAGCTAAGAGAGTAGACATGCTGAATAAAAAGATAAGTGCAGTACATACCTGCACGGCTCTTTGTCTCCTCTTGAACTTTATCAATAACCTAGAAAACCAACGAATAACAACGCATTAGGTCAATTCAAACATTTAAAAATGGATAACAACAAAATGGAGATAGCTAGAGTTAAGACTAAGAGGAGCACGCCAATAAAGTGTCATTGCGATTTGCATGCATCAGCCACCAGTTACAGTATCAGCTACATTATCCTATCTTGTCTCTATCCAAAACACCTACCACACACCACTGGAGAGGGAATAACAAAGGTCTGTCTGGTATCAGCAGGATTGAATGCTAGTACTAATATGCAGCCCCTTCTCTTTAGGTAAAAGAAGAGAACTTCAGTGAACTCCTAGTTGAATCATAGTCATTCGCCAAGTGCCATTCAGCTGAACAGGTAGAAAACATGAATCAGGTAGAAAAAAACACATTCTTTGGATTAAAAGTGAAAATTTTACTTTTAAATGATATATGCAAAGTACAATGTTTGAAGCACTGTTTCATTTGTTCCTATGCAAATTAAGAGCAGTGTATGCACACATAATGCAAATGCTTGTACCAAAGACTTTCTTGGTAAATTATATTAGCTTCAAAATCATAAGGCAGGACCATGCTGTCATGTCAGAGTGTCTTCCATGAAAATGGAAGAATGAAGATGTTCATCTAGTATAAATGAGGACATAAAAACATTTCATTAATAAAAGAACCATTTAATATACCTATCCTATTTATATCCATGAATACAAACACAAACACAAACAAAATGAACATAATATTTTGGTTGAATCCAATCTGAAAATGAGATGGATGCATATTGGCAGAACCAAAAATACCTTACAGTATTCTTCTCTTATCAACACCCATCCTATAGTAGAAGTGCTAGAACAGAACACTTGGTACATGCCAATGAGACTCAACACGATGGAGTGAAGGTTAGGTCTTCAGTTTAAGTCCTCCCTATGGATAATGCCAAATGGAGATGAAAAGAGAAAAGACATCATATATTTCACAAAGTACCTCAGAAAGTCATAATATATTCCAATGAATCAAATCATAACTGAAATATAATAGGTAGTAATCAAAAATAGGACCAATGTAAAAAAAACAACGCCCAATTAATACACATTAATGTGTGTTTGGGAGGGAAAGATTAGGTACACACCCAACCTTGGCATAGGTCACAAAGTGGTTGCCCCGAGACTTGAACCCATAGCCTCAAGGTTATTAGGCTAAGGTTTTACCATTGAACCAATGGTCACTCCCAAACAATGTAAATGAGAAAATGTAAAATTTAGTAAGACTTACTCTCGCTTTGCATCAATATCTTTGCCAAAATCAATGTTTGGTTCGCAGTCCAGAACCAAAGCAGGAACCTGTCCATAATCAAACCAAGTTAAGCAAAACATTTTGTATGTTTTCCCAAACATAAAGTAAAATGATAATGAGTAATACCTTTTGAATGCTCAAATGCATATGATCACCCTCCAAATAGAATACACGGTCCCTTACATCAGGATGTAAGGAGCAGTCCATATGGTGAGGTAGCTTGACAGAAACTACCCCATGATCTCCACTCTGGAAAGGGAAAAGCCAACTCTCATGTTTTTCATGCAAGTCGCGAAGATACTCAAGGGAGACTCCACCTTCCTCTGCTCTCTTCCGTAGCAACATCCGCTTGTGGCAAGTATCAGGGGTTGCTCTAAGATAGATAAAACCATTAGGAATAAGCCCAGGTAAACAAGAAACAACTGGATCAAACCACGAGTCATAAATACTGATCTCCATCTCATTCATCTAATTAGCTTCATGAACAGCTCGCACAAAGACCTTAAATCAAGTAATGAGATAAATGTATCAGCCTTGAAACTCTCATAACATCTTCTTCTTTTCTTTTTTCTTGAAAAAAAAAAACCAAGTAATGAGATAAATGTATCAGCCTTGAAACTCTAATAACAGCTTCTTCTTCTCCCTCCCCCCTCCGAATGGCATCAACAAAATGGAGAGAAGGAGAGAATTGCAACATTTTAGTCAATCGGTTTCAGTCATGGTCAAAATGAAAACACAAATACCAAATAAATTTGCATTTTACTGAAATTTTATAACTTGCAATTAAGACAAAATGTGGAACTTTATGAAGCCACACCAAAGTTCAAAATATTAAACACTTCATCATTATTAAAAAAGAAACTAATACATAGAGGGATGCATACCATCCTATCGCTGAAAACACTCATTTCCATCAATCTGAGAGGCTTAATTCCACCAGAAGACTCCCTTTCCTGCATAACTCTTATAACAAAAACATAGTTTTGGAAGGTATATGCATATCTTTGTGGCTCAGCATAAAAAGCATCCAATATGTTAAAATGATCTGGTCCAACATCCTGCCACTTGTTAATAGGTTCTAGAACAATCTCAACAAGATCCTGCCACTTGTTAATATGTTAAAATGTCTTCCTGCATGCTTCAAGTAATTCTTTGTTCACTATTAACCCTTTAAAAGAAATGTGTACAAAACCAAGTTTAAAAAGAAAATGATAAGGTGGAAGAAAGTAACAATAATCATAGTTTCAAATGGAACATGGAATTCAGTCTAGATGTATTATGATTTAACATTAGATTTATAATATTCAAAAGAAGATACTTATGTAGATGTCACACACACACACACACACACACACACACACACACACACACACACACACACACACACACACACACACACACACACACACACACACACACACACACACACACACACACACACACACACACACACACACACACACACACACACACACACACACACACACACACACACACACACACACACACACACACACACACACACACACACACACACACACACACACACACACACACACACACACACACACACACACACACACACACACACACACACACACACACACACACACACACACACACACACACACACACACACACACACACACACACACACACACACACAAATGGAAGAATGAAGATGTTCATCTAGTATAAATGAGGACATAAAAGCATTTCATTAATAAAAGAACCATTTAATATACCTATCCTATTTATATCCATGAATACAAACACAAACAAAAAGAACATAATATTTTGGTTGAATCCAATCTGAAAATGAGACGGATGCATATTGGCAGAACCAAAAATACCCTACAGTATTCTTCTCTTATCAACACCCATCCTATAGTAGAAGTGCTAGAACAGAACACTTGGTACATGCCAATGAGACTCAACACGATGGAGTGAAGGTTAGGTCTTCAGTTTAAGTCCTCCCTATGGATAATGCCAAATGGAGATGAAAAGAGAATAGACATCATATATTTCACAAAGTACCTCAGAAAGACATCATGCTAAGGTTTTACCATTGAACCAATGGTCACTCCCAAACAATGTAAATGAGAAAATGTAAAATTCAGTAAGACTTACTCTCGCTTTGCATTAATATCTTTGCCAAAATCAATGTTTGGTTCGCAGTCCAGAACCAAAGCAGGAACCTGTCCATAATCAAACCAAGTTAAGCAAAACATTTTATATGTTTTCCCAAACATAAAGTAAAATGATAATGAGTAATACCTTTTGAATGCTCAAATGCATATGATCACCCTCCAAATAGAATACACGGTCCCTTACATCAGGATGTAAGGAGCAGTCCATATGGTGAGGTAGCTTGACAGAAACTACCCCATGATCTCCACTCTGGAAAGGGAAAAGCCAACTCTCATGTTTTTCATGCAAGTCGCGAAGATACTCAAGGGAGACTCCACCTTCCTCTGCTCTCTTCCGTAGCAACATCCGCTTGTGGCAAGTATCAGGGGTTGCTCTAAGATAGATAAAACCATTAGGAATAAGCCCAGGTAAACAAGAAACAACTAGATCAAACCACGAGTCATAAATACTGATCTCCATCTCATTCATCCAATTAGCTTCATAAACAGCTCGCAGAAAGACCTTAAATCAAGTAATGAGATAAATGTATCAGCCTTGAAACTCTAATAACAGCTTCTTCCTCTTCACGTATACATGTATATATCCATCATAGAAGTACCAAAAAATAATCAATAAACTCCAAAGAAAGGAACTTTATAACCAAAAAATAGATTTGATCTAATCTTTCCTTATTGAATCTAGCATGACTCAACTTAATTACGAAAGTCAAACTGAAATTCTCATCACCATAAAATAGCTTCCATGCATGATTTTATAAAGGACTGAATATCAGTTTCCTTATGGTAAATTTCACTATTCTGGTCAGCATGCATAATGTCAATTGTAAGCAATGTTTCTCACCTCACACTCATAGGAAAATGTATTCAAATATGAATTATAATTATGACATGGACTCCAACATGTTGCACTCAAGTAAGAACCATTTCTAAGTTGCAAAATAAATGATCTGAAAACACACCTGTAGCTGAGACAGATCCAACGAGCAAGTGTGGGTGCTTCTGGAGAGACTGGGGTGGCCACAAACCAACATCAGAAATAAAATGAGAAGGGTAGAGTGCCAATGCCACCCTCTGAACAGATGCTATGAGTGAATATAAAGGACGGAAAGGTGTCCTCAAAGTCGAAGACCAAATGGAGTCTAGAGAAACTACGAAATGGATAAAATAAAATAAATTTTTTTTTTTTTAAATCCTAGATAAAAAACAGAGTATATGGGTGTAGTGAATACCTTCACGAGTAATCAATGGTCCAAGAGAGCCCGACGAGCATGCGAACTCAACCACCACAACCATAGATGAGAGGACAATAATCAAGATAACTAGTTAGTTGTGCAAGGTCATCAAAGTTACGGAAAAGAACATATGATTTAAATTTCTCAAATACCAGATGTCGATAAACGTGTACAGAATTTGAACCACCATAAAAAGGTATTTGGTTGTCCATCATATTAACAATCATTCAGCCTCACCAAACTTGGCATATGGAGACCAACCAGTTGCATTCCCATTTTCTACATAAAACCAAGCAACACCAATAACAACAGAGATAACCACCAAGCCTCACAGTAGCTAATTAATTAAACCACAACCTCAAATCAGAGCATACCAGCATACCACAACCTCAAAACAAAGTAAGAACAAATCGCATTCAACAATTTACCCAATTGGAAATCGAAAAAAAAATGAGGGAAATCGCATACAAATCTTTATTCACAAAAAGTGTACATATATATTTAGAAAAGAAGATACCTGGTGCGAAATTGATGGAGAAGAGCACTTCCGGTGTTGCCGCATCAGTGAAGCAAAACAAATGGAGAAGAGGGCTTTCGGTGGTGCGATTCGAACGAAGAGAGAGGGCTTCCGGTGGTGCGATTCGGACAGAGAGAGAGGGTTTTCGGCAGTGCTCGTGTGCATGTGAGAGGGCAAGGAAGAGATCAGTGAGAGGGTTTCACGAGCTCAGACCAGAGAGAGAGACAGACAGACAGACTGGGTGAGAGAGTGAGAGAAATAGCGCGAGAGAGAAGAATGATTTGGGTAGAGTGATTTGGGAAGACAAAACGGCGTCGTTTATAGGTGACGAAAATAAGTTTGTCCCTGAAAATTTTTATAATAGTGACGAAACTTTTCGTCTCTAATATGGACGCCAAAATTTTCCCACAAATTTTTAAGGGTGGGAATTTGTTTTGTGACGAAAAATAAAATTTAGCGATGAAAAAAAATTTCGTCACCTATTATTTTATTTATTTTATGCATTTGGTGACGAAATTTTGTTTTCGTCTCTAAAAATAGTATAATTAGAGACGAAATCTTATTTTCATCACTAAAACATGTATATTTGGAGACGAAATAGTTTTCGTCATAAGTTTTCGTCACCATAGACCTTTTTTG